GGCGTCTCCCCCGCGCACCTCTCGCCGAGCAGTGGCGGGTGCTCCCCGCAGGCCTCGGCTCGGGCAGCTTGCGCTCCGCCGCAGCCCCGAGCCGGCTGTCTGCTTCTCCGGCCGGTGCCGAGAGCCGGGCCAGACCGCACACTGCAGCCGGGCACGAAGAGATTCCCGCCGTTCTCACCTGCTCCGTTCCTCAGTGTCTAACCTTGCAGCTGCTGGCTTTGCCCTTGAATCTTCCTTATCCTGTTGCTCGCGGATTTTCCCCTCTTCCTTGCTTGTGCAGCTTCCTTCAGCAAGGGCTCCCCTACTCCTCTTGGCCTGGATCGCGGTGCCTTCCTGCCTGTTTAATCATAACATCCTCCCTCACCAAATTCTAACACCCCCCCTCACCAAATCCCTGCTGAAGCCAGTACATTTTGCTCGTCCCGTGGCCATAGCGTCTCACATCCCATCCCAGCGGCCCATGCTTTCCTGCTTTGCCCTTGTGCCCTGCCCCTTCCACTGAGCGGCCTCCCAAGGACCACGCACCACCTGGACATGGACACTCGCTCAGATTCTGACTTATGCTCAGGCAGGGTGTAACTTTGACAGCCAAGGGCAGTGTTAAATATGAAAAGAGTCTTTCCTTATGGATCAACCTAGCTATTGGTGATGGACACTCTGAGAAGTCAAACCCCTCCAAGTCCTCTCCAGTCTCTGCCCATGTTGTTATGGGTCTCATGACTGGATTTCATCACCAAAGCTTTTCAGTGCAGCTTAGTAGTTACCCCTGCTCTGCTTCATCGCCCGGAAGTGGAGACTATTCCAGCAGAGTCCTGTTCTCTTAAACCAGGCATGCTAAACCCATGGGCCAAATCCAGCCCACTGACTCGTGGCATCCAGCCCAGATCAGGAAATTTGGTGGTGGAGGAGCAGTGGTAATTGATACTGCTGCCCCTCCCCTGCCACCAAATTCCCAAGCCCCATATGGTCAGGTCCAGGCCAGGCCCCCTCCTGCCATGCATTTGGGTCAGGCACCACCCCACGTGCCAGATTGGGGCCACAGAAGGACTGGGCACTGCCCATCTGGCCCATGGGGCAAAAAGATTGAGCACCACCATCTTAGATGATTCCCACCCGAGATTAAAGGGCTTGCCTACTTCATTACAAACACTGACACAGCTTTCATGACAGAGCTCCTTGTGTGCCTTCATAATATTTTTTTCACTTTGATTTTTATAAATTACATATTTTTTCAAAGTGCCCATTTAGCACTTTGCAGGCCCTTGACAGTCCTTAAAAACATATATTCAATAAATAATGTCATCAAAGCACTTTGGGATCAGCAGTTTCAAGCCCATTTTTCATCACCTGGATGTTTCGGCTAAAGCGACTGGTGGTGACACCAACACCAATGTTGACTATGTAAAATATTAGCCACCCTGCTTGGGCCATCCACCGGTCTCTCAAAGCCGTTAGGCCATGCTGTGCAGAATCAAGAAGTGAACGCTCCATGCATGTACATGTCATTCCCATGGTCAAGGTTTGCTTCATGTAGGCCTGAAAGTAGGATGAATAAATGAAAGAAAGCTCAGATTCTAAGACATCCATTTGATAGATATATCCAGTGACAATGTATCCATCAGCCACCATGACGCTGAAATGGTTATAACTGATGGTGTTAATAAAACAAAAATGATCGTATCAATATTGTAATAGTAACTGTTGCCAAATACTTTGCTACAGTCCAGAACTGAGTCATTTCTGTGCTCTCAGAAAGAGTGATTGCTCCTAGAGGGATCTAAAGAAAAGTTAGCCTCAGTAACAACAACCAGAAAATCTCAAAGGGATCATTTCAGAAAAGCTCGTGACTTGTAAGCTAATTACCAGAATTATGTGGCTATGTCTGGAAAATTCATTTGCTCAAAGAGTAAGTGCTGTGCATCCAGGGACGATACGCTACACCAATATTCAGTTTGGGAGGCAGTGATTCCTGGTTGACAAAGTACTGAACTGGTTATCAAGCCTGAACTATATTTCCAATTCTGCCACTGGCCAACTGCATTACCTTGATAAATCTGTATCCTGCTCTGTGCCCTCAGCTTCCATCTCTGTAAAATGGAACATAAAACAGAGAAGTTGACCAGGGAAAACTGTGATAGCTTCAGCGGCACATCCGACTGGAGTACTCACAGCCTGCCAGTTTCAGTAACAAGTGGCACACCAAGGGGTGATTAGACCAGAATTGCATCCAGCTGCCACTCACCCAGACTGCCAGGTCCCCAGTTATAGCTGGACCAGCTGTTTGAGTTCAAGCACCTGGAGCTGTGGCAAGGCATTTTCCAAGCTCTGCTGCTGTCTCCCCTCCCCCAGCCCCCACTGCAGGAATACTAAGATAGAATCATTCCTGCAAAGCACACATTTCTTCTCTGCTCTGAGTGCAAATCATGACCTAAATTTAACTGATGAGCTGGTCTGACCCTAACACAATACTATTTTTACATACTGTTAGCAATACTATTTTTGCAGTTTTCCAATGCTCACTCTGTTGTGAGATCACACCCAAAAGGGAATAGAAAGGACAAGTTTTGCTTGACATACTGTTTCTAAGAGAAGGCCTCCATCTGTCTTCTTTTGAGCTCTCTCACGCTTCCCCTGTAAAACAAGTTCTGTGTCAATTCACTGCATTGCACCCTCACAGCACCTCCATTCAGCCTGCAACATGTTCAAGCTATCTCGCTGGGAGTTGGCTTCCAGAGCGAGTAGCAGGTGGAAGTGTGTGCTCTTACCCAGGGACTGTCACCCCATAGAGCTGCAGAAGCTGCTATGTGACAGGCTGGTACCTCAAGAGGAAGAGCCTGGATTCATGTGATAAGTTTGGGAATTGATGTTCTGAGGCAAGGCAGCAGTGCCCTGAGTGTTTTACAAGACCTTCCTCACTGAGCAGCAAATACCCCACACTGTAGGAAACCCCCAGCAGGAGCCGAAATACCCTGACATGCGGAAGAGAGAATGTTACCCCATTGTAGTTCAAAATTGTTGGGTCCATCAGTCTCAGTTTTCCCTGGTAATCTATAGGCTGAGGGTCAGACGCAGCAGCAGCCCCAAGTCCTGTGATGGGACCCCAGCTTTTCCCCAAGTCTTTTGTACCAGAGACTCCAAGACAGCAGCCTAGGGCAGTCACATGCCACACTTTGCAAAGACTCCTCTAAAGGCTAGGATTCCCCCAGCAATATTTTGGGCTGGTGCAGTGGCAAGGGTCAGTGCCCAAGGCTTGGGATGGGAGAGAGTCCATCAGGCTGCAGTGTCTTCTTGGGGAAGGTGTTCTCTCTCTGTCTGGAAATGTAGGACCACTTGGTTTCTGTAGAGGCAGACCCTGACTGAAGGGGACCCTCAGGGCAGTGCAGGGCAGTCCGGCCCCTCACATGGTCATCTCAATCTCTGTTGTGCACATTGTGCAGGAGAGAAGCAGATTAAGGTACAGGTCATAACAGGGAAAACAGTGCTGCCCTCATGGAGAGAGGAGAAACCCCATGGGCTAGGGACAGACATTCAAAAAGCCTGAGCCTGAATTGATTCAATCTTTGCAGGTTAGTCTAACCTGGCTAGGCTAAATCACTTTATCACTGCACAGACATCCCAAACAGTGGCTCAGGTTAGAAGCCAGGGGGTGCTAGACCAGCCTTCCCTCCCCTTCCACATGGCTGAAATGAGGGGGCCTGGCAAGGCCCAGATAGGATTAGGGAGGGACTCCCCCTCTCCTTGATGATAACAGAGCATTTATCAGCTCATTATCAGCATTTATCACCCCATCAGAAAACAAACAACCTCTCTCATTAGTTCAAGCTCTTCTTAAACAAAGAAGGAATGGAGGGACATTACCAGCTGAGCTGTTGATTAGCTCCAAAGAGCCCTAAATTGACATTGCTGTCTGCCACAGCACAGATGGTAGCCAGCATGTGGTCTGCTAGCTAATGCTGAGGTGTCTGTGCAAGGCAGAGGGGACAGGGATCCCTGCTTAGCAGGGAGTGGGGAGGGGAGGTGGAAGCCAGGCAGACCCTGCTCTGCCTGCAAATCTCTGCCGGAGCTGCAGCCAGGGAGCAGAGGGGAGGGGCCAGCCCTGCTGATAGAGAGCCCCACCCAGCCCAGAGAGCATGTGGGATCCTGGGGGAGTCTGATTTAACTTTAAACCAGCAAGGGGTCTGGGACAGACATTGCATAAACCAGTTTGACCCA